ATAGATTAAGCAACAAAAGGAACATCACATATTTTCTTTATTTCCAACAATTCAAGGACTTATAGCATCTTCCCTACTATATCTCATTAGAATGACAGATTCTTTCCAGAGAAGGCAGTCCCAAAGACACCTAGGCCTATTCCATAAAGGGATTTAGAAGTGAAATCAGCATCTTGAATTGCAACCCAGACCCCACTGACAATAATTGTAGCTCCTGAAGGAATGATATTACATGGGAGTGACAAGTTATACCCATTATTTCTCAGGCTATTACCTTCTAGACCAGCAGAAACTTCCAAATCATCTTTGAAGGCAGTCGCATAAAGAGGAAATTGCAATATAAGTAGTTCTCAACTTGCAACCATTTAATGACCCTTTGAAGTTACAACTCCACTGAAAAAGTAACTTGTGACCGTTTTTTACATGACTGTTGCACCATCCTTATGGTCATGTGATCAAAATTCAGATTGCAAGTCTCTGGGGAAGCTGGCAGGAACGATTGTAAATGGCGGTCATCTGATTATGGAATGCTGCAACTGGTTGTAAGTGTGAATTGGTTGGCAACTGCCCAGATTCTAGACATATGATCATGAGGGTGCTAGGACAGTTGGAACTCTGAGGACCAGTCATAAATGCCATTCAGGGCCATTGCAACTTTGGATGGTCACTGAACAAATATTTGTAAGTCAAGGACTACCTGTAATATCTGGCTAATACATAAAACTTAATTATCTAATACCAGCAATATCTGGCTACAGATTTCTTTGATTTTTGTTAAGTCATCCAGAATCAGGTGACATGTAAGTTTAATAAAATATGATTACACATACAAATTATCTGCCAAGATATGCTTTTGCTCAACTGATCCAAGTATCAAGGATGATATTAATGAAAGAAATAAGGAAAGTGTATTGAGAAGTTGGAAGGGAGACTTCAGATATTCTTATGTATACTGAGTATTCATGCTCATGTGATGACAAAAGCCATTTCTAAATACTGCATCCATAGAAGAGATGGTCTTGGAACCAACTAAGACAGGAAACAACTATAAAGTTAATCCTAAGTGATATTCATGATCCAATGCAATATGTTGTGTTACTGATAGGAAACAGCAACCACGATGCTCTGTCATTATATATGCAAGTGGAAATTGAGAACAGACTAAGATACAGTCACATTTGACTACAAAAGGGGAAAATTCTAAAAAATGGGCTAGTGATAAGAGGCTTGACACTCAGATCTCTTGAAATGCCAGAGAACTATCAGGGAGACAGTATAACACAATTTTTAAAAAGAGACCCAAGGAGATTTGAGAAATTATAGCTTGGCCATTATCTGTTTCAGCAAAACCATCATTCTTATTCAATCACGCTGAAAGAAAATCAGCATGGATTTCACAAAGTTAAATTCTGCTTCACTAAGTTTCTGGAGGTTTTTTTTTTTAAAAAAAGATATCAATTAGCACTCGAATGAAGGTGACCTTGTCAATGTTTCATGTTTGAATTTACACAAACATCCTCATCAAACACTCTTGAGTAAACCTTATTATCATAGTATAAGAGGACCTCTGTCCTTTTAAGTACTGATTTAAAAAAAGAAAGGAAAAAGGTGGGAATTAAATGAGATTTTTTTTTCTTTGTGGAGGGAAGTTTGTAAAGAATTTCTTAAGAATTTGTGCTGTTGCATTTTTTTTTTTGCAAACTTGATCATAAACTGCTTGAGTTAACGCAGTGTTTCCCAAACTTGACAATTTTAAGGCATGTGGACTTCAACTCCCAGAATTCCACAGCCAACATTGCTGGCTGTGGAATTCTGGGAGTTGAAGTCCACATGCCTTAAAATTGTCAAGTTTGGGAAACACTGAGTTAACGGTTAGGTAATGAGGTAGCCAAGTTTGGGGGGGGGGTTAAAACTAAAGTTTTTTTTTTTTTTTTAAATAATAGAGTTAGAGTGGAACAATGGCAGGAAAGGGTATGTCTTGCTCTTCTGTTGGAAGCACACCAGAGGCGCTTAGGTAGCCACTACAGTATGAGAAACAATGTCCTGTGCTAAATTGTTCTTTTTAGTTCCTGATGTTGCTGTGTTCTTTTGTGGTTCTCAAAGGCAGACTGTAACTGCTTTAGGCTTATTTTGTCTGTCTGAGCAGGCAGAAGAACCAGTTTCTTTTTCCTAATCTATAGGACAGTAGTGGCGAACCTATGGCACGGGTGCCAGAGGTGGCACTCAGAGCCCTCTCTGTGGGCACGTGTGCCATCACCCCAGTCCTAGGCCTTCAGCTGGGTTTTATAAAACCTTTTCACTTTAGGCCTCCGCCCCTGTGTGGAAAAAAAAAAAAAGGTTCAATCAGTCAATTTCAACTTCTCACGGGAAAAAAAAGATCTTGCAAAGTTGGAATTGATTGATTGAACTTTTTAGTCCCACTCAGTCTACCATTACCACTGCAGCCATGCCCACCCAATGGGCCACACCCACCCGGCACTCGACGATTCATAAGTGGGTTTTGGGTTGCATTTTGGGCACTCAGTCTCTAAAAGGTTCGCCATCACTGCTACAGGATAAGAATACATAGCTGACCATGCCAATGCACTTGTGGGTCTTCAAGATCTTATCATACTGACAGGAACAGATTTGCCCACCTCTACCAAACTGAGCAATAAAACCCATAAGGATCTAAAACCTTCTTTCTTCTCTTATATATAAAAATGGCAGTGGAAGCAGAGAAATATTCTCCTCTCATAAATGTTTAGAATTAATTTGGAGGGAGTGAAAGATTCCAGTACATAAATATTTTGCCTCAAGTTATTTTGAAGGAGACTGTTATATAGCTGAATTTTTTTTTAAAAAAATTTGTTGCAGTTCTTCAGGGAAAAATAAAGGATGCCGGGGGAAGGGATTACAATAAGGAACAGTGCATTTTTCCCCTAGATTTTCATGTTTCCCTAGGAATGAAATTTTGCTTGCTAGCAACAGATTACGGGTGGAAATAAGGCACCATTCATCTGTGAAAAGCAACTTCAGAGGAAGGAAGGGTTCTTCGGAGTAATATGTAGGAGAAGAGATGCCATTATAAAGTTTTTTTGCCTTCCAGAAGTGGGAGCTTCTGATTCTGTGTAGAAGGAAGACTAAAATCCAAATGATGGAGAGAAAGAGAGTGCCCATGTGTTTCTTTGAAGGAAGTCACCTTACGTGGACGTTCTATTAAGCAGAAAGATACAAGCAAAGGAATAACATTGCTTTCATGTTCCATTTCCCCCCCTTGATTCACAGGAACTGTTTTCGTTGCTTGTGTTTTATTCCTCTTAATTTCATTTTTAGCTGAATGAATTTTCTGTTGACATAGGTGCTATTTCTGTTGACATATCGTTGCTATGTCTTAGCCTGGTTGCTGTTGTGATATCAGCTTTGGATCATTTATTATTTTTTTTAACATAAAAGTGCTTCTACAAGGCAGTCACAGGTCTGTTTAGATTAGGTCTCCAAACTTGGCAACTTTAAGACTTGTGGACTTCAACTGCCGGAATTCCCCAGTTAGCGATGTTAAGGTTGCCAAGGTTGCACACCCTTGATTTATCTTTACCTGAGGCAAAGGAAAATGATTAAGTTTGATATTACATAAATGTGCATAACATGGATTAGGCTTTAAATGAGTAGAAATTGTTCCATACAGATTGATAATCTTGTACAAATTCATATCTGAATATTTGATAGTGGCTAGTATCTGATAGCATGGACAAATCAAAAACATGTAAATTAGTAAGTCACTGTGGACTTTAAAAAAAATTATCTCACCCTCCACCCTTGTGAAGCTAAAAGCGTTTCCTCGTTTTATTGGTAGTACAAGATACCAGTCATGAAATAGATTAATCCACATATAAACTTGAACATTCATCTTCACGTCCCAGTTACTTATAGACAGAAAAATGTATTGCCTGTCCAATTGCTATTTCTTGACCAGATTTAGATTCTGGTAATTTTCAAAAGAGAAATGAATCACAAAGGGTGATTCCTGGAAAACAATTTTACAGCAAGATTGATTATGGCAGATAGCATAAAAGTGAAAAGAGTCTTCCAGTAAGAAGTTTAATCTAGAACTACAAATACTCCTTGAGTCACAACCATAATGGGGTCTTCTCATCACAGCAGTAACCATTTGCAGCAGTCATTAAGCAAATGACTTCAGTTGTTGAGCAAACCAATTGTTCACCCTGGGTGCAATTTTACTGAAAATAAAAATTACTAAAGTAAATGCCAGTTTTTGGCATAACTCCTAGGTGGGGGGAGAACTGTCAGAAGTTCGAATCTGGGGCATAAGTACCCCACAGGCAGATCAGCTAAGCAACCATTTATAAGTCAAGGACTACTTATATTTAACTTTTTATTGTGCACTATAACAATTAAGTGTGAGCATCTGTTTCATGAAAATTAAACCCTATGAAATACATAAAAGCATAGCAAATTACTTTGGGCAGTTCTTACCTACAAAGATCTTCATCTAACAAATTACCGAGCTTTGCATTTTATTGTATTTTAAATATATTGCCAATCTGACATTTAAGCAGTAATTTACTTATTGTAGTCGACCAGGGATTGCACACTTGTTTATGGACTGCATATGATGTCTGTTATATTTCTCCTCTGTCTTTCTGAGAGAATTAAAGAAAAAAACTGTTATAAGAAGGAAAGCTTTTCTTCTGTGTCCAGTTCATAAATGAAGTTTTCTATTCTTTCTCTTTCAGCAGCATAGAATTTGTTTTAAGCTTTAAGTTCTTAGAGACATCTTTTTGTCAGGGCTTCAAGCTTATATTCAAGAAAATCTTAACATTAAATATGCAGTTAAAATAAAGCTTTTGAAGGTTAATTAAAATCAATATTAATAAAAGAGCCAACCTGTTATAGGACAAGAAGTTGATAAATCTCTTGTTAGGTAATTATAATCCTCTTTAATAATTTTATCCACCAGTTATTTCCTAACTTACCAGATATTTTTGTTTCTGTTGTAGCTCCTGTTATTAACAAGTTTAACAGAAGAGTATCAGGTCAGTATTCTTTTATTATATAATTTAAACAGTTTTTCAGTGATGATCTTAATGTGTGTGTATTTTTTCAGTGTTGCCAAATAGTAAAGAAAATATTTTGCTACACTTTGTGTAGCTGCAATTGTTGAAAAAACCAAGTATTGACTTCAGCAAAATAAAGAAAAAAGAAAAATTGCAGCCCTAGGTTGTTTTAGTATGGCTGCTGCTTAACTAATGTAAAGGTTAAAACTAAGTTTTTTAAATAAAAAACCAAAAAGTCATAATATTGATTAAAATATTCAGGCCTTTCCTTGAGCAAACACGTGAGAGGATAAAATATTTTTAAATTTCCTTCACAGTAAACATGACAGACTGCCTTTGTTTCAAATTTCTGATTTTATTCATTTCTATTGTATTTACCAAGGGTTATATACTGCTCCAATTAAAACAGTGATTGAGTAACTTATATTCCTCAGAACAATATAGGACTAAAGTACATCAAACAGAAAACTACAAATAGCACAGCAATAAAATCATAACACTATTACATTGAACAATAAAATAGATTTGCAGTAATACAATAAACTTCACAAAACATATGTTTGAACCGAAAAATATTTGCAATTCATAAGCTTGTACTTTTCTGAAGCTCTAATAATGTTATACCCCATCAAATTTTGTAACTTTTTAGTACACTGTTTCATTAAGAACTAATTGAAATAACCCTAAATTGTTACCTTTTTCTGAGGCCAAGTACAGTGTAAATTTATATTGAAATTATAGTTAAGTTTTAATAGGGATTTATTCTTAATATGGCAAAAATAAAGTAATCTATTGTTAATGCTTTTACTATTTATATACTGAATTTTAATCATTAACTTTAAATAATAATAAACTTGAAAAATGTTAAATTCTCCTTGGAGTTGAATTTGATGCCTGGTGATTGCAGGTAATTGTCAACAATCTAGAAGTAGTTTGCCATTGCCATTTTGGGATTTTTTGTTGTTGTTTGACATCCCAGTCTAGCCTTTAGCCCTATGAATTGGTTCCAAGTCTATTTATTCAATATTATCTATTGAAGTTAATATTATGAAATTATTAATTTTTATCAGACTTTGTATAATGCAAATTCCTCAAATCTAGGCACTTTGCATTGTGATTTCAGTGTTTTCTAATCCTAGAAAAGCAATATTTTGAAGAAAAGGATACTCATTTAAAAAAAAAAAACTACCTGAAAGTGATTTTTACTGTGCATCCCTACAACTGGGTACCTTAAAACTATCTTAGTTAAGTACCCATGTGTATTAAAACTGAGAAGAATGTAAATAGAGGGCTTAGGGAATTGCTTTAAAGCAGTGATTCTCAACCTTTTTAATGCCGCGACCCCCAACCGGTCGTAAGTCGAGGACTACTCAACCGGTCATAAGTCAAGGACTACTCAACTGGTGCAGCACCGTTTGCAGAATGGGACTTTTGGCGGGCTCAGCAGGGCAGAGACAGCCTGGACAATTCCTATTGGCTTTTGAAAGCCAATAGAATTAGACTCTATTCAAGAGAGTCTATTCTATTGGCTTTCAAAAGCCGATAGAATAAAAAGGAGTAGCACAGCTAAGGAAAAGGGGGGGAAAATGGCGGACTGTGTTGTTTGGCGACCCCCATGAAATAGTCGTTCGACCCCAAATGGGGTCCCGGCCCACAGGTTGAAAACCACTGCTTTAAAGGATAGAAGGAAGAGCCACCACAAGGCAGTGGTCAGATAAGAAAATCTTGAGCCTGACCAAGTACATAACTCTCAGATAAGTTCCCCCCTCCCCCCAGTTCCCAAGTAGATGCAATAAGGGAGGGGGAAGCCCATTCAGGTTTATAAGATACTGTTACTATAGTGGTTACAATAAAAGTAGTTCTGGACTATATAGCATTGGTCTACCTTGTTGGGCTGGTATGTAATTATTGAAAGGGTACCTTTAGTAGAATTCCAGATATTACTAGAATTGATCCATTAGCCAGAGGCACACAAACTAGGGTAATAACTCTATGGGGTTGTGTGTGTGCAAGCAAATCAGGGTTAAGGGTGGACTTATATAAGGAAAGGATAGATGACAGAACTTGCTGAAAGGAATGCGCTTGAGGAGACTTAAGCTAGGCAAGTCCCAAGCACAACACCATGTTGCAAGTTAAGAAGATCAAAGGAAATCAAGCTATTTACTTGACAAGAAGAAGCACAGTTCAGCCAATTATATAAAAGAGATGACTTGTGCTGTTGGCTCTTTGTGGCAAACAGCCTTTACATTTCCTATCTGTGACTCTGTTTATATACAGTTGTTGAGTTATCTGGATCCTTAGACTGGAAAGATTGTTCTTGGATCTTCTTGAACCTGATATTTGTCTCTCTGGACACTTTTGTGAAAGTTAGTTTTTGTATCTCTTTGCTGTGCAGAAAGCCTTGAATTTGTGGTATGTTCTGTGGTATGTGGTTATCATGAATTAATATTTAAATTCACTATCACAGGCATGTCAAACTTGCGACGTCATGTGGCATCGCGCAATGTATCGTGACTTTTTCTGCAATGGAGTGGGCGTGGTTTTGGCATGACGCATCCGGTCCATGGGCCAGCAGTTTGACATGCCTGCACTATTAGAAGCTGGCTGTGGACATTTAACTGGTAGTGCAAAACAACGTGATTGGAGGAGTTCCAGGCATGCAAGTGCCCTGTAAAGAGCTGGTGTGTTTTCTGTGGTATTATGTGAAGAGCATGGCCTAATAATCCATGACCCATACCATGATCCGTCTCGACCATAGTGTCAAGAAAGAGAGGCTAAGCACAAGAGAGGCTAAGCTCAAGTAGGCAAGGCTGGCCAGCGGTAGAAATTTAGAGCCTGGTGTGCTTCCCTTAAGTATTGATTTGGGGACTTCAAAGTGAGGGTGTAGTTGGCAGCATTCTGGTACTTACTTCTGTTTTATTTACAGACTAAGATAAATGACCAGTTACCCTTTTCCTCCTGTTCTGTCTGGACAAGCCAGCTATCCAAAAAAACCTGCTAAGAACAGGTTTTGACAAAGCCTTGAAGATTTGGATCCCTGTTAAATTGCATTCTGGGCTCCCCTTTGCTTAGGCAGGCCGACACTGATTCTGTTTTGTGCATGCAAGTCATCAGCTTAGTCTAATCCATTCACAGCATGAGGAATACATTCTTGAAGCGCTAGATTGCCCTATTTCATAGTCTCTGCTGCTTTTTACTAATTAACCTACAGAAAATTGGTCAAGGAAATTGCTTTTACATTTTTTAAAGGATCTTTCAAAGAATTGCCTAGCAGCAGTATGTTTTTCACAGTTCGCAACTAGGCACAGAACTGAACTTATTGAAGAAAGTGCATTGTAGATTCACTTCAACACAGGTCATGATTAAGAACAAAAAATTATTTTTGCATTTGGCAATGCATCTGCAAAAGAAGTTCAGAAATATGAGAATAAAAATAGTCTATTAACACACACATTGTTGCACTTGGCAACCTCAAGCTAAACAGCATAGCACCCCCATCAGTAATGTGTTGTACATTTTTACATATAATGTACTGTATATAATTTTTAAAAAGTCTTGTTACGAACCTGTTCTCGGAAGTCTGTTGCCTTCTGCATTGTTTCAGGCACTATATTTTTTGTGTTTGGAAAATCTGTTTGCGAATCTTTTTAATTGGGAATGGATCAAAATACTACTTTATTGTTAATTTTAATGTGTTTTTTATATTTTAGGTCTTTTTTTTTACTGTATGCTACATATATAGGTTAATGAATGAAGAAGCATAAATGAGATTAATCCCCCAGGGTGACATCATCACATTCCACTGCATGAATTACCCTCCCTAGATTGTTTATGTGGTAAATTAAAGGAATGTAGGATTACTGTTTGTGGGGAAAAGAATGAGAGAGCAGGAAGCTTTTACATGAATGAATCTCTCTCTTGGAGCTCCAGAATGTCACAATTTATGATCTCCAGCTGCCATAAAGCAGCAGTCCAATATGATGCTTAATCTCCGAATGTGAACAGATTCTGTCACCCACACACTTCCTCATTCTTCAACTCCTAGTCAGTAGCAGCAGGGATTGAATGTGTGCTCCCTGTTTTGTTGGCTGATGCTTTCTCAAAGTATGGTTTGGAGCAATGACAAAAACAAATAAGCCAACTGAGAAACATAGAAGCACTTGGAACAATATATATGTTTCAGACTACGGATAAAATTCTGGAGCATGTGATTTAAACTAGATACAATGCTTGAAATGTATCCTCCCTTTTATTCTGTAACAGAAAAACTTCTTATCTGTGGGGACAGTTAATGCTGTATGGGTAGAAATTAAATTGTTCGCCAGAGTTTAATTAATTCTATTTCTTTCTTGGTAACAATGGAAAGCATTGTCTTTTATTGTAGCAAGGGTAGTAGAGTTCTGCGGAGGCAGGTGAAATGTCTTTCATGGCAGGTAGGGAAAGATAAGTTTTTAATATTTGCATATTCAGAATATATCAGTATAAAGATAATACCCTATGTGTTATGGGTAAGCTAGAAATGTATTTGTCTAATATACTGCTTAAAAAACACAGTGAATGTACTTTATATATGGTTGCATTTAATAGGGTCATTCGCCAGTTGCAAGGTGATTATTTTGTGCAACTTCACTCTGCTCTGTGGGTAAACCAGACTTTATTAGCATTTATATTGAAGAAAGCTCAGCTGGATTTCTACAAGAGGAGAAATCGACTTTCTAGATATAAGGCATTAAGCATGTGTACACAGGCCTGTTCTTAGAGTGCATATGCACACATACACGTGACTGGTTATGTCCTTTGCAAGCATTTCCAAATGGAGTTTGGATATTTGAAAAAATATGATCAGGATCATCACAAATCTTGAAAAAACAGATCAGGATCATCACAAAGCTTTCATGCTTCAAGCAGCCTTTCATCCTTTAAATGCCTGCCTCTGGATGATCTGTTGTGCAGAAAAGATAGATTTATTACTGTTTTTA